TTCTAGACTTGATTTGTCATATATGAATATGATTAAAATTGTTTGTAAATTGGATCACGCAATATTACACCAAATTGGAAGTGAACTGAATCTTTCGCAATTCTCCCGAAGCTCTAATAAAAACAGAGAAAAACCCTACATTCTTACTTCTCTTTATTACTGACTGGCAATGTCACTTCACAAGCTGGGAACGAGGTTGAAGTAAAATCCTACACTGATTTCAACTCAGTATTGTCTTAGTTAACGATATCACGAAATCAACAATATTCAAATGACACGATAGCAACGGGAGATAACAGTTTTTTACTCTTCTTCTCACAGTTGGTTCAGAAACAACTATTATCTCAACCACACTCCTTCGCCAGATTGTCAATGTTTTTCTTAGAAACCCTGCAGTAATTTGTTTGGTGTTAATTAACGAACACAGCTGCCTTTAGAGATCCATAGAGGTGCATGGTTTGCACGTTACATCATTGTTGCCATGTTGGTGGACGTAAACAATAGTACATGGAATCAGACTGTACATAAGCTAAGACCTGCTCTCAATGTACAGTCTGATTCAATTCGTGCTAAGGTTTTTAATTAGCTATTTACTAGCACTTTCTTTGTAGTTGTATCGTTTGTTTACACCTGCAAAAATTTTTTTATATTTCGTACGTGTATATGTACATATATTTACTGTATTTCATTCCATTCACTTGACAATGACCGAAGCACGGTCGAAACGTCGTGTTTTACCGTTTATTTTTATCGTCAAAAGTTTTAGGAAACCCTTGCTTTAAAGCAATACTTTTCGTTTTCATAAAAAAATTGAAGATACACATCAGCCACAATAATCTACTTGTCATTTTGTATTGCTGTATTCTTACTACTCTTACATTGAATGTTCTTTCAAACGTTATAGCATTGCTCGCCCCGCAGGTTTTAGCTAACTGAGATCACTGGATATCTTATTTTATATTTCAAACTCGTAATAAACTTGTAACTTTTTATAACCTTTTGTCTTGTAAATAAGTCCAAAACACACTATCTTCATACCATTTTCATTCCGAGCCATTATCTCGAGGAATTTGTTTTTTTTCCCTCTCTCTTCTCTATTAATATTATATCTTTGGAGTAACTTTTTACATATGCTTTCTCAATTTTGTTAACTGTAAGAAATTGATATAACTACGGTGGAAACACAACTTTTGGTAGACATGTACATAAATTTTCCGAACTCACATGAATGTTCTTCCATGGAAGTTTGTGCAGAGTAGAGACATGACACTCAAACGGATAATTAAAGTTTATTGATGAAAAACACGCATTGATGATAGATGGGAATTGAAATTGGAAGAAAAAGAAATCAATTATCGCTTTATCTTGAAAAGAGCCACAGTCCAAGTTTTTTTACTTTCCACAGATGACGAATTTCGCAATATCATTTTCAAAGAACCAATCTCGAATAAGATAATGAAGAATCACGTGATCAGGACTGACGAAGTCTCTAATAAGGGAAGCTGTCGTGTGTTGTGCTATATGGACCCGGATTGCGTGTCCATCAACCTGGGACCATTAATGCAGGGGAAGCATAAATGCCAACTGAACAATGCTACTGATAAAACCCTTGCTAGTGAAAAAGATTTTACTTACCTTGCCACTGAGGTAACGCACACACAGTATTGATTTTGTTGTTTTTTTTGTGGTACCTAAGTACAGACAGGCTCTCTAGCTTCGAGGGATGCATTCGCGAACTTCTTTTTCATGTAACCATGGTGACAAAAGCGTAATTTAATAACAGGTGGCTCGATTCACATCCTTCAGGTTCTTGCACGAAAATCAAGCACAGTGGATCAGCATAAGAATTAATCGTCCTTCACTTAAGCTTATAATGATAACTTTAAAGTATTTCGAAAGTCAAAAAATTGATGTGAAAGTAGAAAGATACCTAAGTGCGAATTCCATTGGTGACTTAATTCTACATATTAAGCCAGAATAGGCGATTTCAATTAGGTGTTAAATAAATTTGCTTTTGCGTGGGTTTCACGTCGCAGCGAGCGGGTTTTACCTTACGCAGCCTGCATTTCTTCATCGATTAGGCATTTCGTCGACGGCGTTTGCTCACGCATTACGAAATTTGCCTGTGATGACTTTTAAAAATCTTTATTGGCTACTTAAAATATTTTCCTTTTTACAGACTTGAGAGTTGTTGTCATGAGAAGTATGGTTTTGGTTTTACGGCAATAAACAGAGGAACGTGGTTCATTTTATGTTTCTTTTTCATTAGAACCCATGTGATAGCGGCCCATGTTTGAATGGAGGCACCTGCCAAGCTGGTTTCACAAGTAAAGGTTATAGGTGTATTTGTCCAGAAGAATTCAGTAGAGGAGAGAATTGTCAAGGTATTGGAAACATGATAGTTTGGTCAAAAATTGCAACACCACCAGAAATTCAAAGCAATTAACTGTCTGATACCTATGTTATTTCATATAATTTCCATTTCATTATTCGTGTAAGGTGTGTATAATTTCTTGCCTGAGTTTCCATTCTTTTGTTAATATTTGTTTCATCACTTTTTTAATTACAGTTCTTTTGAATCTATATCGTTTGGAAACACTTCAGTGTCTAAATTTACTTTGCTCTCATCATTAAAGTTAATTTTCTAATCCAGACAATACCGTGTTATTTTCTGCATGATTTACTCGATTAGTTTATCATTCTAGCTTTCAGAAATTGCGCTGAGATCTTTAAATCGGGCGACAAAAGAGATGGTGTGCACGTCATCAAACCTGAAAATCAATCAGCTTTTGATGTCTTCTGCGACCAGACAACAGCCGGTGGAGGATGGACATTGTTCCAGAGAAGAATCGACGGCTCAGTCGATTTCAACCTGAACTGGTCCGATTATAAGCAAGGCTTTGGAAATATCACGGCTGAATTTTGGCTCGGCTTGGAAAGGATTCATCACCTGACCTTAGATAACAACAGCATGTTGAGAGTAGACTTGGAGGACTTTGATGGGGAGACTGTCTACGCCGAGTACAGCTTGTTTGGTGTCAGGAGTGAACTTAACAAGTAACGTTTGATACTTGGTTCTTACACAGGTGACTGAATTAAGTTAAGGTTACTTCTTACCTTCAGAGGCTGAGAAAGTCGTGTTTTCTTTTATTTGACTAAATTGAGGTGAGAAATATTACATAGCGTTTCCACAAAAGAGAAATTAAAATCTCAAAAAGCATCCGAGCTATTTAGAAGAACATATTTTAAAATAAAATTAATAACTCAAGATGTAAATTTCGTAAATGGACGAGTCTTCCTTGGAATTGTCGCAGCATCCGCTCATCTTGGAGCTCGTTTTTCATGTTACTTGCGTCCTTGTTTAAATCGCGCACTTGAAAAAATTCACACGTGGAAGCTCCTTGCTCATGAGAAATATGTTAAAAAGAGTCCTTGGGTAAAGGAAAGTAAAAAATTCCTTTTGAAAGCGGTTGGCACTCCGCTCCATGCTGACCGTTCCAGATTTCAACCACAGAGGTCTCCATCGAACTTAAATTTGTCATACATAAAGTTAAAAATGAGGTTTCCATTTTCTTATGCAAGTACCAACCTTCATACATGTATGCAGAATCGAGACTTCAAAGGCGTGGAAGAAAATATGAAACTTTGATCTGAATTCTATAGTACAGCATAATATATTTTAACTTTAATACTTTCCTTTTTTTATGCTTTGGTAACCTTTTTAGGAACCGCTGGTGACTCCTTCTCTTACCATAACAGCTGGCCATTTTCTACTCCGGATCAAGAGAATGATTTCTACCCCACTGGAAACTGTGCCATGAAGTACGAAGGAGGTTGGTGGTTTAAGTGGTGTTTCAAGGCTTTCTTAAATGGTCCTTATGTCCGTGGGCCCAACTCTAAATACGCCGAAGGCAATATTTGGAAACGTTTTCGAGGTTTTCACTATTCACTGAAAAGCTCTCAGATGAAATTAAGACCTCGAAACTTTTCAGTGACTGAACCGTAGTTTCTCTTATGTAACACAGATTTTATGCTGAAGCTTTTCTGGAAACAGCACATTGTTTAAGTCAGTATTATTAGCGAGATAAAAACTGCGAATCTTTTGAGCTGGACTGAAGTTTTTCTTGGAAAGCATAGATTCTGTCCTAATCTTTTCTGAACACAGCTCACGGTTTTATCCAATATTTTAAACGACATATTACAAAGCTTGCACGCAAGTCTCATGGAAAAAATTGTAGACAGCTTTCATTTAAGCAGTGACGTAAATTACAAAAAAAAAAGATGACAGCTAATCTCTGATTGATTGATTCTAAGAGAGGATAAGTTAGAGAAAAATAGCAAAATATTTCCATTTTATATACAGTTAACATCTTTGCATGAACGGTCTAAAAGCAGACAGCAAATGCAAAGTATTTAAAACTCCATCCTCAATAATCATTTTTCTGTTTTGTAAATTCTTCCCGATTTTGTTATTTCCCTTCTCAAATTACCAAACAACTAAGTATACAACAATATTTTCTTTTGTAAAGTCGCGAGGAGCCGCACAAGCTCATTCAAAATAGGTATGTGTATTTACTTTTTCTAAAATATAAAGATTTACGTAGTTACAGAGTTAAAAAATCTAAAGCTTGTTTTGGTAGTTTTATTTCTTTTTTTTGGTTTCCTTAACACTCATGGGTAATTGTACATTTTACAACATAGCTGTTATTTTTCAAATATATCATCTTTAGATGCATAGCAGTCTTACCATCCTTAGTTAATCATCCCCTTTCCCTTTGACTTTCATTTTGCCTCCTTGTTTTGTTTTACACAGTCAAGCATTTTGATTTACATTTTCAGTGAAGTGTAAACATTTTTTCGTAAAAAATATTCATGTTATCGCTAGTATTTACGTAGTCGCTTCGACTTAGTGAAACGACAAAAATAGGTCAGGTGACAAGGGTTTAAAAAGAAAGATTCCTGTAACGACATTTTTTATCGAAGTGAAGCAAAGGGATTCAAAGCGTTTGTGGAACACAAATTGTAAATTCAAATCGTTCGTTATTTTAACTGAGAAGAACGTTGTAGACACTAGCTTTATCTTGTACTCACATTGTAATTTCAGTTGACCACGACTAACCATGGACGTCACCAACCGTATAGTCTAGCTAGTGCAAATGAAACTTTAGATGCTTAATAAAAACTGTTATCTCCTGCTGCGATGGTTTGTTTGTTTGTTTATTATTATTTTAAAGAACATTAGAAGCAAATTTACACAACCCGCATTTAGCATTAGCTAGTCTTAGCGGGTATTAGTAATAAATAAGTAAATACTACACATTGAAATTTCATTACCACAATAAACTAAAGAGATTTTACAATAGACTAAAAGAGATTTTAAAATAAACTAAAGAGATTTTACAATAAACTAAAGAGATTTCATTACTACAATATTATTGGGGTTGTAAGCCATGCATTAGTTTACTACATTATAAGCTAAAAGATAGGTACAGTTGTCATACAAATTAAATACNGCGGGGCCAAAGCCCATGGCAGAGAGGGTAGCCTTCATAAATCCCCAATCTACCCGGTCAAAGGCCTTTTCTTTATCCAGTGACAAGATTGCTGCAGGGAATCCCGTGGACATAGTGTAGTGAACCACATCACGAACTAAGGAGACGTTTTCCCCGATGTACCTGCCAGGTACGCCACAGGTTTGGTCTTTGTTGACCACGAGATGGATCACTTTCAAGAGTCGGCCTGCGATAGCTCGGGATGCAGTCTTGTAATCCACGTTTAACAGGGTGATTGGGCGTCAGTTTCGGGGATCAAGGCGGTCTCCCTTCTTGAATGATAGGATGATAATGTTACGACGTTGCGAGAGAGCGAGTGACCCGGAGAGGAAACAGTCATTTAGGACAGTAACAAGGTCTTGACCGAGAACACCCCAGAACCTGAGGTAGAACTCGGCCGGGAAACCGTCAAGGCCAGGGACCTTTTTTTTTTTGCCATGCCTTTAATTGCAGCGAGACACTCCTCCGTGGTTAGAAGGCCCTTACATGTCTCAGCCTGATCAGGAGGAAGTGAGGACAAGAGATTAGACAGGAGAGAGGACTGGGCGTGAGGATCGGTGGGAGTGGCAGAGAAAAGATCGGAATAGAAAGAGTTTAACGTAAGGCATAAGTCCTCCGGGGACGAGACAATAGAACCTCCGCTGTCCCGCAAGACGGGTATCCAACGATCTACTGAACGTTTTCTCTCTAGGCGAAAGAAGTATGACGAGGAGGTTTCACCTTCCTCAACCCATCTAATCCGAAACCTTACCTGGGCACCACGGGAAACTTCACGATCGAGGGCTGCAAGGGTGGAGAGAGCTGACTGGTAGGGTGTGACGCACGAGACCGAACCTGCATCCACTTTTGCTTTCAGGTGTGCAATGAGATTGACGAGAGTGTCTCTGTTGCGTTTTTTCGTGGAAGACCTTGACGTACAATAATTAATTGTCAGACCTTTGAGGCGATTTTTGCCGTCCTCCCACCAATTTCTGAGTGAAGTGAGTACAGTTTTTGAGCCTTGCCAGGTGCGCCAAAAGTCAGTCACAAGTTGGACATATTCACTTTCTTTGAGGATGACTGTGTTCAGTTTCCAAAGCCCAGGACCTGGTGGAACAGTGTCTGGGACAGACACCGAGGTGAGAACACCACAGGGGTCCGAGAAAGGGCACGGAACAACAGAGCATGAATTCACCGACGTTATCCAAAGGAAGGGAACACCGGCAATGTCGATCCGAGACGCGAGAGCGCCATTCCACTCAGTCCAAGTGAAACCGGGGGATGCGGGGTGCAGATACCGGTAGATGTAAAGAACGCAACATGCATCAAAAAGGCCGCAGAGTGAGGTAGTACTTTCCCGCGACGAATCGGAGGGGACCGAGCCGCGTCTGTTCAGGCTACGGTCAAAGACAGTGTTAAAGTCGCCACACAATAACGTAGGGATGGAGGGGTCTACTTTAGGGTGGATCCCGTCTAGAAACTGGTCTCGTGCAGGGTTGCGATTCGGAGCATACAAACAACAGACACGGAAGGACTGGCTACGAAAGGAGAATTCACATTGAAGAAAACGGCCGTCAGAATCGGACCAAGAGTTAGATAGAGACAACGTGGGGCTGTAAAGAATCACACACCCGCAAGAATGAGTAGAGCCTGGAGACAGTACAGAGTTAAATCCAGAAGAGAGAAACCAAGAACGACACTCATTTGCAGACGTACAATGCTTTTCCTGGAGGCGGACTAGGTCCACACTCACAGGGTGAGAGCGCAACCACTGCACGAGACCATCTCGCCTAGATCGGTCTCTGATACCGTTGGCATTTAAAGTGATGACAGACAAAGTCATGAGGAGAAATTGAATGACCCTCATGAAAGCCAAGGCTGGGGCTTCCCCTTCCTTTTGGGAAGATTGGGCACCGCCTTGGACCTCTTAGAAATCGCATTAGGCAATTGAGCAGAGGTTGGGACCATCACACGTTTTTTGCCAGGTCGCTTCCTGGTGTAGAGGCCTGAGAAGTAAATTCAGTAATATCATCTTCGATGTCACCAACAATGGGACAGTTGCTAACATTAATTACTTGAGTGGTGCTTTGACCAGAATAACTATTATTTTCCTTAATTACTTTACTGGTGCTTTGACCAAACTTACTACTATTTTCATTAACTACTTGTCTGGTGTTTTGACCAGAATTGCTATTATTATTATTATTAACTACTTGTCTGGTGTTTTGACCAGAATTACAACTACTTTCATTAATTAATGAACTGGTACTTTGACCAGAGGTACTGTTAACTATGGTGCTATTACTATCATTAGTTGATTACTTCTCAGGACTCTACCCCTGAACAGGGGTAGAGTCCTGAGAAGTAAATTCAGTAATATCATCTTCGATGTCACAACAATGGGACAGTTGCTAACATTAATTACTTGAATGGTGCTTTGAACAGAATAACTATTATTTTCCTTAATTACTTGACTGATGCTTTGACCAGACTTGCTACTATTTTCATTAACTACTTGTCTGGTGTTTTGACCAGACAAGTAGTTAATGAAATTTTCATTTTTTTAGTTAATGAAATTTTCATATTTTCATTAATTAATGAACTGGTACTTTGACCAGACGTACTGTTAACTACGGCACTATTACTATCATTAGTTGATTGGCTGGTATTTTGACCAGAATTGCTATTAAGTTCTGAGGCCGCAGATTGTTTACTGATAGATTCATTAATAACTTCGCCAGAAACAGTGATGACAATTTCACTCATAAATAGATCAA